TGTGTGTAAGTTTGTGTACGTGCGTGTAAAGTAGTTTTCAGGTGTGTCTAAGTGTGTTTAAGTGTGTGTAAGTGTGTATAAGTGTGTTTAAGAGTGTACAAGTGTGTGTAAGTGAACAAAAGTATGTGTAAGTGTGTGTAAGTGTGTAAAAGTGTGTTTGTGTGTAATAGTGTGTAAGTAAGTGTGTAAGTGTTTGTAAATGTCTGCAAGTGTGTCTGTAATTGGGTGTAAGTGGGTGTAAATATGTGTAAGTATGTGTGTAGGTGTGTGTAAGTGTGTGTATAAGTGTGTATAAAGATTTGTGTAAGTGTGTGCAGGTGTGTGTAAAAGTGTGTAAGTGTGTGTAGAGGTGTGTATAAGTGTTTGCAGGTTGGTGTAAGTATGTGCAAGTGTGTGAAAGTGTGTGTAAGTGTTTGTAAAGGTGTGTGTAACTGTTTGTGAGTGTGTGTAAGTGTGTGTAAGTGTGTGGCTAGGTTTGTGTAAGTGTGTGTAGCTGTTTGTAAGTGTGTAAGTGCGTGTAAGTTTGTGTAAATGTGGGCTAGTGTGTAAGTGTGTGTAATATTGTGCCAATGTGTGTACAATGATATGTACGTGTGTGTAGAAGTGTGTATAAAGGTTTGTGTAAGTTTGTGCAGGTGTGTGTAAAAGTGTGTAAGTGTGTGTAGAGGTGTGTGTAAGTTTCTGCATGTTGCTGTAAGTATGTGCAAGTGTGTGAAAGTGTGTGTAAATGTTTGTAAAGGTGTGTGTATAAGTTTTTATAAATGTGTGTAAAGGTTTATGTAAGTGTGTGCAGGGGTGTTAAAGAGTGTTGAAGTGTGCGTAAGTGTGTGTAAGTGTGTGTAACTGTGTGTAACTGTGTGTAAAGGTGTGTGTAACTATGTTAGAGTGTGTGTAAGTGCGTGTAAGTGTGTGTAAAGGTGTGTGTAAGTGTGTGCTGGTTTGTGTAAAAGTATGTAGTGTGTGTAAATGTGTGTGTAAGTGTTTGCAGGTTTGTGTAAGTATGTGCAAGTGTGTGTAATTGTGTGTAAGTGTGTGTCTAAAGGTTTGTGTAAATGTGTGTAAGTGTTTGTAAATGTGTGCAAGTGTGTCTGTAATTGGGTGTAAGTGGGTGTAAATATGTGTAAGTATGTGTGTAGGTGTGTGTAAGTGTTTGTGTAAGTGTGTGGAAAGGTTTGTGTAAGTGTTTGTAGGTGTTTGTAAGTGTGTTAGTGCGTGTAAGTGTGTGTAAATGTGGGCTAGTGTGTAAGTGTATGTAATATTGGGCAAATGTGTGTACACTGATGTGTACGTGTGTGTAAAAGTGTGTAAGTGTGGGTAAACGTGTGTGTAAGTGTTTGCAGGTTTGTGTAAGTATGTGCAAGTGTGTGTAAATGTGTGTAAGTGTTTGTAAAGGTGTGTAACTTTTTATGAGTGTGTGTAAATGTGTGTAAGTGTGTGTCTAAAGGTTTGTGTAAATGTGTGCAACTGTCTGTAAGTGTGTGTACGTGTGTGTAAGTGTGTGTAATAGTGTACAAGTTTGTGTACATGTGTCTAAGTGTATGTAAACGTTGGTGTAAATGTGTGCAAGTGTGTGTGTATGTGTAAGTGTGTGTAATAAAGTGCCCGTGTGAGTACATATGTGTAATTGTGTGTAAAGGTGTGTGTATATGTGTGCAAGTGTGTGTGGTGTGATTTTATTTAAGTGTTTGTAATTGTATTTAAGTGTGTGTGTAGGTGTCTGTAAGTGTGTTTAAATGTATGAAGTGTGTGTAAGTGTGTGTAAATGTGTGTAAGTAAGTGTGTTAATGTGTATAACTATGTGTAAGTGTATGTAAGTGTGTGTAAATGTGTGAGTAAGTGTTTGCAGGTGAGTGTAAGTGTGTGTAAGGGTATGTAAATGTGTGCATGTGTGTAAGTGTGTTTAAATAAGTGTAAGTAAGTTTGTAAGAATGTGTAAATGTGTTTAGGTGAGTGTGTGTGTAAGTGTGTGTAATAGTGTGCCAGTGTGTGTACATGGTGTAAGTGCGTGTAAAGGTATGTGTAAATGTGTGCAGTGTGTAAGTGTGTTTAAATAGGTGTAAGTGAGTTTAGAAGAATGTGTAAATGTGTGTAGGTCAGTTAGTATGTAAGTGTGTGTAATAGTGTGCAAGCGTGTGTACATGGTGTAAGTGTTTGTAAAGGTATGTGTAAATGTGTGCAAGTGTGTGTGAGGGTGTGTAAGTGTGTGTAAATGAGTGTAAGAGGGTGTGTAGGTTTCTGTAATTGTGTGTATAAGTGTGTGTAA